GTCCACCATAATGATCATTTTCTGCTGATTTTAAATACTATTCAAATGCCTTTTCCTCATCTTTTGCTGCTTCTTTGCCATTCTGATAGCACAATGGACGATTGTATTGTGCAGTAGAATCAACACCTTCATCAGACTTCAAAAACTACTTAAATGCCTTTTTTTCATCTTTGGATATGTCCACACTATTTATATAGCAATATCCAAGATTATGCTGTCCATTCGAATTGCCACCTTCAGCAGAGTTCAAAAACCATTCAAATTCTTTTTTTCATCCTTGGTTGTGCCTATACTATTTTATAGCAGAATCCAAGGTCATGCTGCCCATTCGAGTTTCCGCCTTCAGCAGATTTCAAATACTACTCAAATCCTTTTTCATGTCTATGCCTTTGTCATTGCAGACTCCTACATTCTAATTTCCACGTTTAGCAGATTTTAAATACCACTTAAATGCCTTTTTTTATCCTTGATTGTTCTTATGCCATTTCTGCAGCAGAATCCAAGGTTATATTGCCCATTCGAATTACCACTTACAACTGATTTTAAATACCACTCAAATGCCTTTTTCAGCTTTGGTTGTGCATATTCCATTTATGTAACAGAATCTAAGATCATTTTGCACATTCGAATTACTATCTTCGGCAGATTTTAACAGCAATTTGAATTGCTTCTCATCCAAAAAACAAATGAAAAATTAAAGTTTATAAAATCGCAATTATAATTTTACTAACGCTAAGTAAGAATGCAAATTAGGATGGACTTTCAGAAAAAGAAAAGTCAATATGATACGTAATTGGGATAGGATACTGCGCAGACGGAATGTTTCGGAAGTTTGGAATATTTCGGTATTTAACAATTCTGGCCCGCATTAGCAGTAAATTACCATCATGCAGGCCTGCGCAGTAGATTTAAAAAATCCCATCCCTATACGTAATACGCGAGATTCCCTAATCATAGAGATAGGACGATTTTTTTCATATAATTGACTGTTTAAGTCAATTTTTTTTCATTATTAATACAGTTTAAAGGACTTTTTAAAAATATAAAACCACCAAGAATAAATAATAAAAAGTTATGTAGAAGGTTTTATTAACTCGATTATTGAAAATAATCAAAATTCTTTTTTGTTTTAGTGAAGTTAGAATAATAATAATTTTTTAAAATAAATAGAACTAAATTATTATCATGTCAACAAAAGAAATTTTTGTTATGTTCAAAATTTTGTTTTAAATTTTCTTAGAAAGCTATCCGGATGGTAAATATACTTAAAATTTTTCCTAAGAACCTAAAGATTAGCTTTGTTTAATTTAAATTTTTTTAATTATATTTTATGTCGAGGCTGAAGCTTGAAACGGCTGAAGCTTGAAATTAGGGACCTCGATTTAAAAATATAAGCCCTACCAAAATTCATTTATACATTTTTATTATCAAAACTAACTCTAAATCCTAAGCTAATTATAGAAAAAGTGCACCACAAAAATTTTTGAAATTTCATGTTAACGATTAAAATTTCAAGCTTTAGCCGCGACACTTTATAATATTATAGATTAATTTTACTACTATTAGAAATATTTTATTTTTATAATTTTTATTAAATATTAGACTTTCTCTCCATACCAATAATAAGATTCACTAATTTAGAATAATTTTATTCATAATAAATAGCAAATATAAAGAATTTTTATATAAGTCATTTAAAAAACGAATATTTATTATTGATTTTATTTTATTTACTAAAACATATCGTGTAGAAACAAAGAATATATAGTTGTTTTCAGTAGCATATTTTGAAATATTAGGGAGGGTCAAAAAAATTCATATTAAAACAATAATTCAAACTAGGTTAATGTTGACATATCAATATTGTGCATTTACATTGATATTTTCTCAAATGACTTTAGATCGAAATGGCTCAATACCAAATTACAATTTTCACAATCAAATAGACTGACTGAAATTTCTAGAAAATCAAATTTTTATCATTCTACATATGAAAGTTGTTTTTTAATAGAAGTTAAATTTAATTGAAGCAGCTTTATTAATATTTATACTTATATAATCTTGGATCTTTTGAAGAATAAATTATATAGAAGTAACATTTTTAAAATTTCCAAATTATTGATGGTAGATCAAATACGAATAAGTTTAAACTAATTAACGGCCATAAATAAGCTTTGCTAGTTAATGAATGATTCTAGAAAAAACTAACAGTTATTAATAGATTTAGTAATTAAAAAACTGTTCCATCAGATTTAATAGCGATTGGTGGTCCACGAGTGATAGGGCGCAAAGATGCTGCAATTTCACGTCCAGCCTATAGTTGATTGAAAAAAAAATATAAAAACTCTAAACTTAACGAATTCATTCATAATTAAAACCTTAAAGCATACCTTCCAAGTTCCAGCTTCAAGAACCTGAGCCAAAGAAAGTTGTTCTTTTGATAATCCGAGCTTATTTCTTACCTCCTCCGCAACCTTATCTAACAAAATAACCGTCATAGCACGCCATTCAACTACTACCGAGTCATCAGCTTCAAACATTGGTACGATTTCCGCTTCGGATTGAATACCAGATGTCAATGAGTTTTGTTTATAATATTTTATACCACGTTCAACATCCAATTGCTTCAGAGTTAGTACACCAGTATCTACAAATAAACCACCTGCAATGTAATATAATATAATAATGATTAAAAAGTTAAAAACAAGTCCTGTTAATTATAAAATAGATTAATTAAAATTTAAATTGAAAAACCATTTCTATACTCTGGTAATCCAGTCATTTGTTCAAGTCCTTTAAAAGTAATTCCCAATATTTTTATCATTGGCTCAATGAGAGAATATGTAAGCCATTGAGAAAGTTTATGAAATGCTACTAAATGATCTGTAGAATTAGGACTAGCGTTTGATGATTTGAGTACTTCGCATGGCCAAACATCTCCTAATGATATGCCTTCTAGAGAAGTTCTTGTTGGCGGCCAAATTTCTGAAAATCCATAAACTACAACTGACCATAATGTATCGATTTCTACAGAAGTTCCAGTTTCATTGATAGTAGAATTTGACAATAGATAATCTAACAAATTATTGTACAATAAGTAATAAAGTTAATAATCATGCATGTAACATAACGTAGCATAGTACCATCAATAATGAAACTTTTTTAAAAAAAAAATACCTATAAGATTACCGGGCCTTGGTGACTAAATAAATATTTATGAACATTAATTTTACAACAATTCTTATTAATATTAATAATTAAGACGCATTACTCACAGAATTATCATTGCTTTTGAAATATTTAGAGTGAATTTTCAAAGCATGACCCAAACGACTAAGCAAATTAGCACGACCTTCAAGTCCTTCTAAAGGATTATTCTCATTAACTTGAAATGCCAAGCGAACATCCTCCACAGTAATTTTTTCAAGTTTATCCGCTATATTATGAGTCAATCAAAAAAACATGTTAAATAATTCGCATGAGATTTTCATAATACTGTAAAGAATTAAATTTATTATAAAACACATACCATTAACTTGATGCGGCTGAGTATCTAAAGTTGAAAAAATCCCAGACTTAAACATATCTAAGGATGCTATTGCTAGTCCTTCGGATCGATTACAAATGTACCCAGTTTCTTGTTCTTTATAAGACCAAGCATTTCCAGCGCCAGCATCTAATAAAACCGAAATTACGAACAAATCCAAAAGTCTACGTGTTATTTCCAGCTCATCACAATTAGATTTCCACTTATTTATAAGAGTTTGAACACGAGTATGTCCTCCAACGTCAAAGTGACGCCAACGACCATGTGGCGGGATATCGTTAATTTGTTTATAATCGCGTTTAATTAATGCGATTACTTTGGTGACTACATCCTGAAGTTTCGAAAAATCTACTTGAAAATGGTTGAGAGAATTTGTTTTTGCTTTTTCATAAACTTTATTTGAACGTTCACGAACAGATCTAAGACTTTTAAAATATTTGATTTGTTCTTGCATGGTAAGGGGAAGAATTTGCTGGTGATCAATTTGATCTCGTATTAAATATATTTGTGTTGTGTAACCAATAATTTTATGCGTACATATCTACGTACGTACGTACGTAACTGAAAATCGAATTGAGAATAGAAAATACATAAATATCAAGATTTCACAGTAGATTGATCGATCGATCGATCTTACTTAACTAAAAATACTGTAGTAAATTTTTTTAGTTAGAAAAAAATTTGCGCATTAGCAAAGTTTATAGATTATTTTTATACCGTATTCTGTTTATACGTAGTGTGATAATCACAATCCCGGATCTTGTTTTTGTAAAATTAGAAATTTGGTAGTTGAACATTAGCTTTAAGAAAAATCGAAATCGAGTATTAGTTTTTTTCGTCTTTTGGCTAATGATATATGGTAAATGACAATAAATTACGTATGAGCTTAAAGCATGTGTCTTTATTAATATACTGAAATATATAAAGTTATACAGGTTAAAAAATAAAGTTATACAGGTTATACGAGTTAAAAATGAAGATAAAATTTAAAAAATAAAGTTATATAGGACGACGAGTTAAAAAATAACGTTATATAGGGAATAAATTT